AGGGGTGGGTTACCAGTAACACCATGCAGGGACAAGACCAATGATTAAAATTAAGAAATGCATATAATATCATTACTAAAATATTAAAACAAATACTGTATGTTTGTGTTCTCTTAACAGTTCTCCTGCTTCTCCAGTTCACATTGAATCTTTTTCTTGCATTCTTAGTTAATTTCGAAAATTTTTTGGCCTATCCACCTCAGTTAAGGCATTTGCTGTCAGCATGGACTAATAAAAGAAATTATATGGTTTATAAATGGTTTAGAAATATATATGGTTTAGAAATATATAAATGAAATATATAAATGGTTTAGAAATTATATGGTTTATATTAGGCTATATGGTTTATACAGTAAAATTAAAATTAATATACATTGTGAGATCTGAATTTTCTTCTTGTCAGTGACTACAGTCAAGCCTGTACTGTTTCAGTCAGTCACTGTCCACATGTCATACGACTAAATCATTAGACAGAGTAAAATAATATTTAAAACAGGGCGCATTGGCACAATGCAACTGAATGGATTAACTAGATTATTAGACATATGGCCAGATAGGCCAGTTAAGTTACTGTACCTATTAAATGTCAGAGCTCTCCCCTTGGCGAGTAAATTGTCCGGCAGTAGACAGAGTAAAATAATAAAGCAAGGCACATCGGTGCAATGCAACTCAATGGATTAACTAGACACATGGGCAGATAGGCCAGTTAATCCATTAAGCACCAAAGCTCTGCCCTTGATGAGTAAATCATCTGGCATTAGACAGAGTAAAATAATAAAGCAGGGCACATCAGGGCGCAATGCATATGGGTTAACTTATATCACAAAGAAAAATATCAGTACACTTACATGCTTGCCTGTCTTGTTTTGGTGGGTCTGCCGGTCTCCTTGGTTGCCTGTCCTGTTTTGGTAGGTCTGTCGGTCTCCCAGTGCATGTGGAAGGGAAGCCATTACACATCTGAGGGTTAACTATAAAAGAGTACAAATGGTGCATATATTAAATAAGTATGTTGAATACGAATATGCTGTACAGTCATACCAACACTCTCCCCTTAACAATAAAGTCGTTCGGCATTTCAAGATAATGAAACATAACAAATAACTAGGGATGCAGTGGATATCATATCTGACCAGATATTGAGATTTTACTTCATTTTCTGTTACATGGCCACCCAATACTGGGTATTATTTACATAAGGTTCAGGCCTTCAAGATTTACAGTTACTGGCAGGTTAGATGATTTGATTAGGCTAAAAAAGCAGTGGTGGTTATCATATTTTTATTCAATGATTGATAACAGGAATGCTTGTAAACACCATTTTCAAGATTTTATATGCTTGTTTGTAAATGCAAATTTGACCATTGAACTAATGCAAGTGAGGCTTTTGCTACCAATGATGCATGTTTACTAGTGCTAGACTGTGAAGTTCTTTCCTATTATTTCAAATCAAAATTTTATAAACACCATCACTTTTTAACTAATTAAAATGATTACTTAAATTAACCTTAAATGAGGCCTGAACCTTATATACTTGAATAATATTCTGAATCTGGCTCCAGGGATATTTTTCAACTATCCAACATATCCTCAACTATCCAACATATTTGGCTGGAGGGCAAAAAGACTCTATCCTGCACACCCCTACAAAGAACTTAAAGTATGTAACATAAGAAGAAATTTCTCCTTAGGTGTTAATAGGTGAAATATGGGCAAGTAGTCCACAGTCGATAATCAAAATTGTCTAGCATGACATGTCAGAGTTGAATATCAAAGTACTTACAGTAGGTAGTGTTAGGGAAAATTGGATCTAAATATATCAACATGAAACATGGGCAGAGTCTAGCTAGACAGTTCCCTTGACAAATAAAATTGTCCGGCATTAGGCAATGTAACATTTAACAAAGTGCTGAAAATTGGGCTCATTGGTGTGAATCAGTAAAATGGGTAATAATTCCAAAAACCATCAAATCCTTGCCGGGGTGTATATCTCAAATATATAAAATGTAGCCCAAAGGTTATTACATATATTATTAAACAGATCATCTGATCATGCAGGTGGCATAAATATATGTTATTTGCTGTGTTGGTGTATTGTACTCAGGTGAATAAGATGCTTGTTTGATGTTACTCTGATTGTATATCCTCACCAGGCAAGCTTGAAAAATATACCTGGCCACGGTGGGATTCAAACCTACGGCCTTTGGAGTACTAGCCCAATGCTCTTCCAACTGAGCTACGCGGTCAGGTCAGTTCGAGTATGCTATATTTCGGAATTGAATCTAGTTCCTTCGATATCAGTGTAATCTTTTATAATCATTTGCTGTGTTGGTGTAATGTACTCAGGTGAATAAGATGCTTACAAGTGTGATGTTACTCTGAGTGTATATATATATATATATATACACCACCTGGCCACGGTGGAAAATATGCCTGCCCGGTGTGGATATACACTCGGAGTAACACCACAACATCACACAAGCATATAAAACTAAATGAATTCATATAAAGTCATTGAAAGTTGCCACACAACCCATCAAATTGACAACTTTTATCTAAACTGACCCACCTATATATGAATAAATATTAATAGAAACTTATGAAAGTACCAGTTAATTGGAAACAAATCGATAAATTCTCTCAAACCATGTTTAACTAGGACATAGTACCTAGGTAGGCATATGAGAATTGAGTAGATCAAGTAGATGCCAAGCTATATTATTTTATACAAGGAACACTTGATCTGGCAATCCGTCATACACACAACTAGTCTATTTGGCATTACAACAAACATAATTTGATATAAAGGCTGAGTCAAATGTAAGCCTTTGTATAAAAACTAATGTATTTATATTGTCGCAGCGAATTCAAATTTAAAGACGGAACACATGCTCAAAATTCACGAATGAAGATAGTAAATATTTCCTTTCAAAATTGCTCTGTTATATAGAAAACAAAACAATATTCTTACCTGGCAGTTACTCAGTCATCCCTGATGTTCCATCTTCGCTAAAATATACCATCTTCCAGTAAAATACTATAAATCTTTCGATCGAGCAGATGAAAATTCACTGCATTTCAAAAATATGGCGGTGTGATCGAATGATGCTATCCCAGGAACCTTTGCGCGTGTTGTAGGAAAACTAGGCACCAGTCTGTCAACCGTCAAAAAGCGCTTATGAGAATTTTCGTTTTCAAAATGGTCTTTTGTACATAACAAAAATACCTACCTCCACAAGCTATAATATAGTTCCCATGAAGTCATGAAGAATTTAAGATTAACTCAATCCCTCAATCAAAACATTGATATCGAAATTGAGGAGACCGGACTCAAGCCTGGAACACCTGGGGGCCCAACTTGCGGGCAGGGGCCCTGGCATGCTGGAATTGCGAAATTTGTAAAATTACGGATTTGTTCGGTGAATTATGGAATTTTCTGGGAAATTTAGGTCGAAAATTAGTGTTGCGAAAAATTTTTGGGACTTTTGTTTTCGGAAACATAACGTCGCCCCCCCCCCCGACTCGCGACCGTTTTCCGGAAAAGAGAATGTTTTCGAGGGGGCCCTGCTAGGGTAGGGAGGCCCAAATTTTTTAATACGCCCCCCCCAATCATATAACGGTTGGCACGGCCCTGTCAGTTTATACTATAATAATTAGTCAGTATATTCTTTTAAATATAAAATGCTCGAAGAATTAAGTTCAAGAAACTTGAAGAAGGAATATCTTCACTGAAGAACTGCCAACATTTTACATGTTGTCTTTTATTCTCCTGTAACATAACGGTTGTAAATGTAGTTTCAAATCGAGTTGCAAATCTAGGGTTAAGAAAAGGTCAAATCTACTCTTTTGAATTTTAATACAATGTAGGCCAGTTCCAATTACAATTCACTATGACATGAATTACGTGTATGAAATTACTTTAATTGTCATATGTGAACTGTATAATTTCATAATATGTGAAATACATGACTTGATTTTCATATATGAAATTAAAATTCACATATGAAATTACAAATATTAACATATGAAATGGATTTCATATATGAAATTTCTTTTTTCATATGTAAATTGTGTATAACTTCATATATGACTTGATTTTCATATATGAAAATTCTTATATGAAATTAGCTACCAAATTTTACATATGAAATTTAGTTTTCCATATGTGAAAAAATTTAGTTTTCCATATGTGAAAATTCTTATATGAAATTACCAACTTTCACATGGGAAATGGATTTCATATATGAAATTTCTTTTTTGATATGTGAATTATATAACTTCATATATGACTTGATTTTCATAATCTGAAGATTCTTATATGAAATTACCAAACTTCACATGTGAAATGGATTTCATATATAAAATTTATTTTTTCATATGTGAATTGTATAACTTCATATATATGACTTGATTTTCATATATAAAAATTCTTATATGAAATTACCAAATTTCAGTGTGAAATGGATTTCATATATGAAATTTAGTTTTTCATATGTGAATTGTATAACTTCATATACATGACTTGATTTTCGATATATGAAAATTCTTATATGAAATTACCAAATTTCAGTGTGAAATGGATTTCATATATGAAATTTAGTTTTTCATATGTGAATTGTATAACTTCATATATGACTTGATTTTCATATATGAAATTTCTTATATGAAATTACCAAATTTCACATGTGAAATGGATTTCATATATGAAATTTAGTTTTTCATATATGAAATTAAAATTTCATATATGACCTGCTTTTCATATATGGAAATTTAATATGTGAAAAAGAGAATTTCACATATGAAACTGAAATTTCATATATGAAATTACCTTTTCACATGTGAAATTCTAATTTCATATATGAAAATCTTCATTTCATATATGAAATTCCAATTTCATATATGAATTTTAATGTGAAATTTTTGTAAGGGTGGTCCATCGACTCCCCCTGTATTAACCCATTCGAGCGCGACAACGAGTCATGTCGGTAATCAAAATCAAAGTCCGGCTGAGGAATTGAGGGCTATTTTTCGACGTGGAACATCTTCCCAGCAACAGCAAGATATAAATGCAACTATTCCTCGTTTTAATAGTAGATTTTCCTACCAGTCGAGAGGCCGCCGCAATGCAACTCGTAGACTGAATAGCAACGAAGGGAAACAGAAGACAACTGGAAAACGCTGCGGTCAAACTCCAGCCAAACAATCTTTTTGCCGAGAAGTTGTGTTATTAAGGAGTCCAGACGACACCAAGGGTGTTCGTGGTCATAGTAAAGCAGCATTGCACAGAGCTGGGAATGTCATCAGTGCATTTAAATTTGAAAAGAGTTGGTGTTTTTCTACGGTCTGCGAAGAGCTCAATAAAGCATTTCCTCAGCTCGGGTGTATAAATACAATGCCAAAGTGAGTGATTGTATAAAATTATTAATAAGCTATTCCAATTAATATGTGTACCCCCCCCCCCTTATCGAGGAGACTGGAAATCCTCTGGTGTAAGTAGTTCCAGGCTGGAAATCCTCAGGTGTGGGCTGTTTTCAGTCTGGAAATCACCAGTTGTGGATAGTTTTCAGCCTGGAAATCTTCAGGTGTAGGCTGTTTTCACTCGGGCTGGAATTCCTCAGCATAAGCATATTTTCTGACTGGAATTCCTCAGGGTAAGCAAACTATCAACCTGGAATTCCTCATCATAAGCATATTATCTGACTGAAATTCCTCAAGGTAGGTATATTTAATATATGACCGGAATTCTTCAGAGTAAGGATATTATATTATCAGGCTGGAGTTCCTCAGGGTAGGCATATTATCAGGCTGAAATTCCTCAGGGGCAAAAGCGCTGGGGACAATGTCCTTGATAGGCGGGGGGGGGGGGACAGATATTAAATAGAATAACCCAATATATAAAAATTGTGCCTTTTGATAGTGAATTTTACATTTGTCTGGTATTAAAAAAGGCTTTCTCTAAACTTAAAATGTGTGAAATGCAGTGTCTTGCAAACCCAAAATAGAGTTAACCTAGTAATGAGTGGCAGCATTCTACATTTGAACCCATTATTTGAATGGCAGCACTCCACTTGACGAGTAAAATCGTCTGGCGTTAGACAGAGTAAAATACTAAAGTAGGGCACATCAGGGTGCATTGCCACATAACAGGTTAATATACACAATAAAAAGCATATACATGCATGTATATATATATTTAAAACATGAACAATTAATTTAACCATAATTCTTGGATTTCATGTGATGTCATAGATTTGAGTGGGGGTACCTTTAAATCGAGAAGCAGTCATCAGAGTGAATTCATTGTCCACTGTATGTGTTGGCCTTGTGTTTGGTGGCAAATAAGTGAAATTTTGTATCTCAATACATTTGAGGTCGAATCTAGTTCCTTCATTATCAATGTAATCTAGTATAATCATGATTTTTTGTGTGTGTGTTTAATGTACTCAGGTGAATATGGTGCTTGTGATGTTGCTCTGAGTGTATATCCCCACTGGGCTAGCTTGAAAGATATGCCTAGCCATGCATATTAATATAACAAATAAGCTGTTGTTGAATTGCAGATTTCAGATTATGATGGGTGTGGGAAACGAGCTAGTTAAACCGCAACTTGCAGCTGGTGAAGAGTTAACTGGTGGAAATATCAATAAAATATTTACCCAAAGATCAGTTTGGATTTTGCCATCTGAGAAACTTGATGATTTATGCAAAGATGAGGTATAGTACTACATCAGTATGTTTCCTAAATTAAGACTATGTATTAGTATTAATTGTTGAAAGTTGTTTAAAATTAACAGCCGTTCCGCACGTTGTAACCAATTAATTGTAGTTGTAAAGACATTGTATACAATAAAGTATTGGGTTGAACAGGTTATGACCTAAGGTTGATGACCTTTTCTTTTGGTCAGAGCTAGTTAAACCGCAACTTGCAGCTGGTGAAAGTTAACTGGTGGAAATATCAATAAAATATTTACCCAAAGATCAGTTTGGATTTTGCCATCTGAGAAACTTGATGATTTATGCAAAGATGAGGTATAGTACTACATCAGTATGTTTCCTAAATTAAGACTATGTATTAGTATTAATTGTTGAAAGTTGTTTAAAATTAACAGCCGTTCCGCACGTTGTAACCAATTAATTGTAGTTGTAAAGACATTGTATACAATAAAGTATTGGGTTGAACAGGTTATGACCTAAGGTTGATGACCTTTTCTTTTGGTCAGAGCTAGTTAAACCGCAACTTGCAGCTGGTGAAAGTTAACTGGTGGAAATATCAATAAAATATTTACCCAAAGATCAGTTTGGATTTTGCCATCTGAGAAACTTGATGATTTATGCAAAGATGAGGTATAGTACTACATCAGTATGTTTCCTAAATTAAGACTATGTATTAGTATTAATTGTTGAAAGTTGTTTAAAATTAACAGCCGTTCCGCACGTTGTAACCAATTAATTGTAGTTGTAAAGACATTGTATACAATAAAGTATTGGGTTGAACAGGTTATGACCTAAGGTTGATGACCTTTTCTTTTGGTCAGAGCTAGTTAAACCGCAACTTGCAGCTGGTGAAAGTTAACTGGTGGAAATATCAATAAAATATTTACCCAAAGATCAGTTTGGATTTTGCCATCTGAGAAACTTGATGATTTATGCAAAGATGAGGTATAGTACTACATCAGTATGTTTCCTAAATTAAGACTATGTATTAGTATTAATTGTCGAAAGTTGTTTAAAATTAACAGCCGTTCCGTACGTTGTAACCAAATAATTGTAGTTGTAAAGACATTGTATACAATAAAGTTTTGGGTTGAAATATGTCTACATACAATTACAATAACCCTAATCCAAATGCTAACCCATTAAGCCTAACCCTAAAGTTGATTATATTTTTTTTCAATGTATGCAATAGAGTATTAATTGGGTTGTAATGGGTCTACCATTACAGTGACCATAATCCAAATGCTAAACGTAACCACTGATCCTAAGGTTGATGAGCTTTTCTTTTGGTCAGAGACGGATTTTCATATTTTCGTTCGGGGGGTGGATAAATATCTGGGGGGTGCTGCTGCTTGCTTTGGCCGGGGCGTGGTGGCAACACCCCGAAAAGCCAAGGAAAAAGTTTAACAAAATCTGATTTTTAGGCCTGCATGGAGAGATCTGAGACAATATTATTGGTAATTTTACAGATTTAGTAGTAAGAATAATCAAATATGAAACTATCAAATCAAAATAGATATAGTTTACGGAGGTGCAAAAACTTTTG